ATATTTAAAACGTCGGCAACGTTAATGTTTTAATTTACTTCCATCAAATTCCATGATCTCAATATCCAATTTCTACTGTATCCCCGTGAATCTACAAAGGTCGTAACTATTTTTCGACGTAACTCGTGAACGGAAGAATATGTAGATGTACTTCGTTTTATCACCTGGGAGTTGCAGGGAGTGCTTTAACTCGACGCAGGTGAGCCGGGATGTTTTTTTCGGGCCCCAGAGTATTCCGCGAGCGCTCGTCAGCGCGGAGGCCGCGTCGACGGGACTTCGTCGACGAGAGGAAGGCAGCGGGGCGCCGCAGGGATCCGCCTTGGGCCCCGCGCGTAATAAAATAATAATAATAACAGTCGGAGGCGCAGCGGCTGCGGGCCGGCTTCAAGGGCGAGGCTCGTTTAATGAGCGCGCGGCGAAGCGAGGCGGCGGCGGGGCGGGGCGAGGGATGCATTTGAAGGACGAGAGGTATGATAAGGTACGGAAAGCAGAGGTACTCGAAGTATTGGATAAAACGGGGAGAGAGTTGACGAGGGAGAATGGATGCGGAGGGGAGCAGGGAGATGTGAAGGGGTTGGTGAGAGGCGAACGCGAAGACTGAGCAAGAGTGAATTCGCAAACGCGAGCAAGACGAGGGTAACATGTAGTGCGGCGCAGAGGGCGTGTCTGCCACGCGGAGACGCGTGGCGAGAGGGACGGAGTGTGGAGGGGACGTGAGGCGGGAAGGCGAGGCGGAGCGGTATCTAAACGCAGCGAGGGTGAGCGCGGGAGGGGGCGTGGCAAGGCGGGGACTCGCGGACGGCGCTCGCGCGGCGCGGATGCAATTTAAAAGGCGCTGCGAAGGAAATATGAAAGAGAGCGCGCCCGCGCCAGCGACTTGCGTCAATAGCGTAAGCCGCGGGCGCGGCGGCGGATCCGCCGACTCAGCGCGGGATAACGAGCCAAAGACGACCACGCCCCTGCCTTTCCTAGGACCGCTCGCTCGCCCCCTCGGCCCCACTCGCCCCGCCTCGCTTCCATTAACTCATCACCGCCTCGCCCCGCCTCGCCCCGCTCGCCCACCTCACCAGCGTTTTTGCTCCGCCTCGTGCCCCAGCCCCGCCTCTGCTCGCCTCGACCCGCCCTTAGCCGTTCGCCCTCCGCCTCGGCCCACTCACTCCCCGCTTCCCGCTCTCCCCGCCTCCCCGCTCGCCCCCTCGGCTCGCCTCACCCATCTTGCCCCGCCCGCGCGCTCGCCCCATCGCCCAACCGAGCCTACCGCCTCGCTCTCCGCACGTCAGCATCGGCTCCGCCCGCCCTCCGCCCTTGCTCCGTCGCTCCGCCTCGCTCCGCTCGCCCTCGCCTCCGCCTCGCCTCCGCTCGCCTCGCTGCCTCCGCTGCCTCGCTGCTACCTCGCCTCCGCTCGCTCGCCTCAGCCTCGCTCGTCTCCGCTTCGGCCCCCACCTCACCCGCTTTGGCCCGCCTCGCCCCGATAACTGACACGGACGAAAAGCATCTTCTGAGATTTGTCCAATGATAAATTTGTTAACCATACTCTTCATCCCGAACATAGAAAGCAAATACGTTGAAACACCAACCACTCGCCAAATAGCCACCGCCTGCCTCGCGCCCACCGTGCCTTTGCTCTATTTTGGCCTGATGCTATTTAATGCTACGCCCATAACCGATGTAGCCCTAAATTTTGACAAGTCATAAGACGTTCGTTAGAACGAAATCGCCAGTTCAAATGGTCATGTGTGTGGTGTGTGTATATATATATATATATATATATATATATGATTATATATATATTATATATATATATATATATATATAATTATAATATATATAGTATATAAATAATATGGGCACCGGGCTTTTACTTTTTGGAGAGGTCGAGTTTGTGCAATCTTAGTGTAGTTAAAACGATATTTGGCCCGGGGCTCACAAAAACCATGCGCGTATAAATATCTACTCCATTGTTTTTTCTAAAGACTTTTTAAAGCAAAACATGTTAAATCACACTTTATAAACGAAAAGAATTAATACGCGAAATTCCTGAAGCGAATTCCGAAGCTTCGAAATAAGCGAGAAAGTGGCGGCTGATAGTGTAAATTTTATAATAATAGTATACATAATATTTAATACAAGAGAGTATGGAATAGTAAGTATACACACGGCGTAGATATTCTTACACAGTGATATGGTAGTAATCACATAAGGTATTAAGTACTATCGGATAGTATAGTAGAGTGAAAAGACCGAATGCCCTCATATACACACGTCAGGACTGGGACTGGCTCACGAACGATACCACGCATAGTATCCTTTAAGCAAACATCGAGCGCCAGATTAACAGAGAGACACGTGTTGTTGAAACTGAAGGGGGGGTTAAAAGCATAGGTTACTTTTAAATATCGGTTAAGTGTAAAGGCAACGTTTAAATGAATATACGTTAAGCATATTCCAAGATGGTTGTCGCAAGTAAACAATTCCTTATCAACGCGGAAAACGGCAGAAATAAGTGAAACAATCCCTCTTAAAAAGAAACGTCTTTGAATTTGCGTCTTCTCATTCTCGCAAAAGCTGAGAAAAGCCGAATGCTATGAAGGTCTGTATTCATTTTTTGGTTGTGTAAATAACTACACTTTTTTAAAACATGGATTGCAGAATTACCTTTGCTTCTTGGTTTTTAAACAATTAATTTAATTGTTAAAAAACTAATAGATATCTGCTTGCAGTGTAGTTTAGGTGCATATATTGTCCTGTATCAAACAAACAATGGAAGTTGTGTGTGTGTGTTGTACTAGAACCTTATTATAAAGCATAACATTTATAATTATTGTTAAAGATTATTTTTCTAAATATTATCTGTTTACTAAACATTTTCTTCTGTATGTATCTCAAGGCAATTCTTTTCTAATTTCACTTTTGATGTTTTACGGCAGCTCTTGAAGAGTTTGTAGAAAGCCTGTCATGGAGCAAAAGGCAATAGATGACCCTGCCTGCACAATACCTCAAAGAAGGAGGACAGGTGTGGACATTCTAGAATTCTAGATTCCTAAACATGATCATGACATTTCCTCATGTTCTGTTGTGTTCTCTGCACTACAATTATTCCTTTTACGGTAAAGTTGGTTTTTGTTTTCTGGTTGCTGCTGTAAACTGTTTGAAGTGCCTTATAATGAAATTAGCAAATTTTCTGAATTTTTTGGGGTTTAGAGTAGAGAAACTCCTGTTCTTTTTCTACTAGAAAAGTAGTTACATTTTGCATTCTCAATTTTTGAAGGTTATACAATTGTAAATAAAAAGAAAAGGACATGGCCAGACTGGAAATAATATGTATGCGTGGTTTTGAAATCTTTCAATGCTGTTTTCTGAGCCTTTCAATTTTTAGATCATTTTTTCTTGTATTTTAAAAAAAGCTGCAAGAAACAATTTCCTATTAGATTGCAAAGAAATCTCAAGAGTTGTAACAAATAATACTATTAAAAATTGTGCTAATAATATTTTGTCAGTAGTACTGAGAATTAACTTTTTGTGGGTTTAAACTGAAGGTGATTAGAAATTATCTTTCTTGACTTAAACAAAAATTCTGTTATGAACAACATTTATTGAAACAAAATTCTTTTAGTTCAAATTATTTAAAATATTTTATTGAGATGGCGTAACAAATGTTTGTAAAAAAAAGACGCAAAAATTATTTGCTATGATCTTGTTATTTCAAACTAACAAAATTTAACAATAATATCATAATCGAAAAATGAATTGACTGACATTGTTCAAACTTTGCACGATATATCAAATTATACTTATCAATACAACCAGTAAAAAATTTTATTTGGTGTGAAATCAAAATATTTAAATTGCAGAACATATTACAAACCTTAACTTTTAAATCATTTCACAAATACTCATTGTACCTCTGTTTTTTGTCTGTTGTTTTTTTTTTGTCAATAAAATCATTTCCATGTCCAATTCAGAATCATTTTTTTACACAAGAACATAAAGATACATATAGCAGTTTTGCTTTTATATTTACCAGCTCTTAAAGATTTGTTTTTAGCCTGTCATGGCACAGTAATTTATGTATGTGTTCAACATTAAAAAACCACTTTGCCTAAAAAGCCTTCTTTTAATTGATAGGCCTAAGACATATACGAAAGGGAATTTCCTTTTAGGTGAACTACCTCTTCCTTATTCATTTGATGGAGTTAAGGTGTTAAACTGTCTTATTAATGCCAATAATTGACTAAAAACCGTATTTTTTTCATCAGTGTCTCTTTATAAACAAACTTTCTATGTTTATCAGAATGACCTTGTGGATTCAATTAATTAAAGATCTCAAACTTTATTGACAGGGTAGCCGCTTCTCCTGAAAAACATGAAAGACAATAAAAACATCAGGGAATTTCTACGCCTGGAAAAGTATGGGGGAAAAAAAAGGGTATTTGTAGAAGAATTCATTAGAAGTCAGTGAACATTTTCAAGAGGCTTATTAAAACTAAGATTATTCCTTTAGTAACAACTCATTATATTAATTAGTACAACATAATTTTTTGCGATCAATTTTTTGTTTGAAAATATTTGTTAATGTTGTACCTCCCCATAGTGAAATTAGAGAAGGCGACTAATTAGTAGCCGGCTGGCTTTAGTTTTTCATTTTAAATAGTGGCGAAAATAAAGAAATCAGAAAAAGATTTTAAAAAAATATTCCGGGCGAATCCCGGAATAAGTAAAGAAATTTGTCAGGAATGAAGTGGCCTCCCGATACAGTATTTTTAATATTACTTGATTTATATTAATGGTGTCGAAGTGGTCAACCTGTGTAACATGAATGAAAATTTCACAATGTGATAAATTGAATTAGCTGAGATTTCTTTAACTAATTAATCCACAAGGTCATTCACATCAATAAACAATATTAATTATTATGGGATCATCAGTAGAAATCATCATAAAATATCTTAACGATATGTTTCATAATAGTTTTCTGAACAACTTGGTGTTTCTTTTCAGAGGTGCTGACAAAAGCTCCTGAGAATGTCATAAAAGTGCTGAAGAAAATGTGCCACACCTTCTTAGTAGTCACTTGGGAGTAGTATTCACGTCTACTGAGTGTTAAGAGGTAGTGCTCACCATAAAACGGTTGTGGCTTGCAGTATTGACTGGTAGGTTACCTAGAAATGTTAAGTGTGGCTGACAAGTAAACATGGTTTCTTTGATTCCACTAACAAATGCTAAGATGGGCTCCTAATTTTGCTTCCCCTGCAATGTAAATGAATCTTTACTATGTGGAATTTGCTGAACTCTCCCATTAGCTAGTTGTGGTAGAGTGGAAGTAGAACTATGGGTGTGAGTTGCTATTTTGTTACCAATTCCTAAGAAAAATCTGTTGTTTGTGAAGTGATTGTATTAAGTTTCTATTACTTGAAAAGCAAAATGTTTTCTAGTTTTCAAATGGTTGCTACAATCATAAACTTTGTTAATTGATTGATTAGTGATACCAGGCTATCTAATCATAGTCCTACTAAGCTATCGGTGCATGTCTGTTTGTTGTGGGAGGTGCAATGATCTCCCACTGAAATTGTGAGATCTGGCTCCAAATCTACATGTTAGCTCATGGGAGTTTCACCAACTCAAGCCATCTCCTCATCCCATCTTGCCCAACAGGGCAAGCTCTTAAGCTCCGCAATGTGGTGGTAGTGTAGTGCATATAAATGTGAGTGTGAGAGTGAGAAGAAAAAAGGAAAAAAGTGTGTTAAGGAACTTCTCCAGATTTGCGCTATGTTGATTTAGAGAAATTTCACAAGAAAACTGTTCAAATCAGAGGGCCTCCTGCTGCTGAATTGCTTCTCTCCAGAAGGCAGCTGAACTCAACCCCAGCTTAACTAGCTTCTAACCTCACTAAAATCAAAATCATACATTCCGCGGGTCTTGGAACGCTTAGGATCTCCTGGTCAGAGGCACTACAGTGACATCAATTGAATATCTGAGCCGCCCTAAGCCAGTCACTTTGTTGTAACATTTATTATTTTTTCAACTGTATGAAAAGTAAAGTGTGAGTGGAGAATCTGGAGCTCAGAAAAAACTTGCACGGATATACTTTCTCCACATGTCAACATATCAGTTTTTAACATTTATCTTATTTAAAATAAATCAAATTAATTTTAACCAAGCCTATCAATGTGTAGAAAATATGAATTGTTAGTTTGATAAATCCAGTTTCTCAGAATACATACTTCACACAGCGGAAAATTATGAAAGATTAGCCGAGAACACAGCATCACCATTGTGTCTGCAGTGTCTCTGACTTGCAAGTCCTAGTTTTCGAGTCCTAACAATAGCAGAGTTTTTCGACCACTAGCTATACTGCTAAGTTTGAAATTCAGCTGCTGTTTGGATAGACTTCTAGAGTCTTCTGATGAGAATTCCTAGAGTTCTCTGATTAGTAACTTCCGCAGTTTCTCTAATCATTCTCAGGTGTATTCAAGGAAAACACGCCCTAATAAACAGGTCATAGACTTTCCCTTCCTCATTCTTGCCATTCTCTCTCCTTACACACACGCGCGCCGCACAACCACCAAACTTGTATTTACATGCACTACCTCTTATAACTAATGTCAAGAGAGTAAGCTTAAAGCTTTGATAAGGCAACGTGTGAACATAATCTACGTAGATTTATGCAAAAGCAAATTTGACCAAGTCCCACACAACCAATTACTTTGTAGCTCAGATCTTTCAGGATGCAAGGAAAATTGCTTCAAATAGATCTGAGTTCAAAAATTTTGGCAGAACCTTCAGGTGAACATTAGCAAGTAAACTCTCATCACTGAGGAAGATTACTAATGGAGTTCCTGAAAGGATCAGTCTTAAGACTGCTTATTATTTGTCTTATGCCGGTGAGTAACATCAGAGATGGGCCATCTCCTGACTAGAAATGTATGCCAATTACCCCAGGTGATTAACTACCAAATAAAACACATACCAGCCACTTTACAATCTGAACTTAAGCTGGTAAATGAGTTTGGAAACATGTGGCTTCCCTCCTCAAACCTCCCCAAGTACAAAATTCTATCACTCAGGAGATAATAATCTACAGCACAGTTCCCATAGAAAATCATTCCCTTGACAACAACATTGCAACAGAATAATCATAAAATTGATTACATCCATGATTTTGAATGAGAGAATCCGTTCTTTATATATATTTCCACTTACATGTTTCTCAGGATACTGAAGGGAAAATATTAAGTGATAAAGATGCATATCTAAATTTATAGTAATGAGGCAAACAAAAATTCTACATGGTGACTCGCAACTTCTTCAAACTTGTCCACAGGCCTGCTTCCATGTTACTTCAGATTATTTAGTCAGTGAACCTAAAAATTATATGTGACTGGAGGAATAAGTAACCACCTGTTGGCACCTTTTCTTGAGTCCAGGATCTCTTGCGAACATTTTAATTAATTAAAGTTCCAAATGAATAAACATTTCAAAATTAGTGATGTTAACAACTTTTGAAAATTTTCCTACCATCAAATGCCTATGCTCTTTTGATTGGAGTTATAAAACGCGAAGTTATAATTCTCAGCAATGAGCACTAACAACTGTAAAAGAAAAAATTGTCTAAATTTTTAGTGTGACCATTTTTCGTGAACTCATTATAACAGATTCCAAATGAAAATGGGAATGTGCACCAAGAAGAGGACGTTTGTTTTTGTCACAAGCAGATACGCAAAAACTCACATACAGTATTATATAAACTCTACATACAAGTTGCCATGCCATTGAAATTTCTGGTTAACATTTGTTCATTAATTACTCAAGTTATTTAATTTTTTTGGTACAGTATAACAAATCAAAGAATCTGGTGTTGAAATATTTATTAATGGTATGGAATAGTTAAATTTTTTACCTATTGCAGGAATTTTTGTTATCAGCTGTTGTTACATTGAATACTAACATTGGCCAAGAAGATGTTTTAAGTTACATAACCTTTAGTACAGATGTAGTTTGATAATATTCGTAAGATTGATCAGACCAGATGATCCCAAAAGTGTCCGTATCTTGCTCATTCAGTTCTTCCTGGCTCTTTCTAGTGGAAGAGGAAATCCAAGTGTAATTAGTCTTCTATTGGACAAACGCTGTAATATGAAATTACTATGATTTTTCACTTGCGGTCATAAATTAAAATAAAAGACTACATTTCCGACTATTATAAAAGACTGACACGACTCCTTTTATCTGTTTTATTTTCCACCTATTTGCAGATGAATGCATATTACATTTCAATTCCAAAAATTTAATCATTTCAATGTCATTCATTCACTTCATTCAATGGCACTTTATTTCATATTGATGCATAGAAGAAAATAATTATTAATATTCTTATTAATACCTTTAAACTAAATAAGGCTCTTTAAGTCTTTAACCCCATAATCAACTCCAGGACTCATAAATTTGAAAGACTTTGAATTTTAAATATTCATTAACATGTTCATTGCCATATGTCACAAGGGGTAAGTTTGTCGTGATTTGTGACAAATTGATGAAAAATTATGCTACTCTGGTTTTGTTAATGTCACCTGTTTTTTATCCAAGTTTAATTATGTTTTCCCAGAAATTTTGATCATTGCTTTTGACTTGATTAAAATTATACATTTTTTCTGATGAATTGCAAACTTATCAATATGACACTCAAATCTACTGAAATAGGAATATTTTATAACAATGCTGCTCTGGTTAGTTATTTCCCAATTGTTAAAAAAAAAAGTTTCATGGACAGCTGCCATATATTTTGTAAATCTACTTTAAAATTGATTAAAGTATTGTGAAATTAGATATTATAGCATAACAAAAGGAATAACTTAAGGTATATACATTTCTTGTTTGGTTTTTGCAAGTGATTCTGACTAGCATTATTCGAGGGGCTGATGTACGATCCTTTCAATTTAGTAATCTTTGTAATAACTACTTTACGCACAAAATTGGTGGAAACATCAGGGATCAACAGGACACAGCAGATCCATACATTCAATACACGAGTGAGTTGTGTGATTGACTAAAAGTCTCTACAAGTGGAAAGGACCAGCAGCCTTTTGCTCACGAAAAGAAGAAATCTAGTTGCAGTTTGGCCCAGAAGTAGGTATTCATCACATTTATTTCAAAAAATAATTTTATTTAGGCTCTTAAACATACATTACAGTTTACATAGAGCATACTCTGACACAAACAGAATTTCTTTCCATGGTTAAATGGTTAAATTCAGCTTTAGTAGGTAGGATTATTCACCGATTCAATCTGGTGCTAAGCTGTTGGAATTTTAAGCACGGAAAAAGAATCCATGCTGACATAGTCTCACTATTATCCACGCCATACCACCCCACAGCCCACTCCGTCCGACCTAGCAGCTTTACGAACGTACTCCTACACCCATCTCCCACCCAGCCCATATTATCAGAACTTTCCCAATAACCCAATTCACCATTTCCAATCCACTTGAAATCCGATATTTGTGCACCACCGAACCACATTGTTCACGTCAGGAAGGCATGTATTCTCCTTCTCCTATTAACGATAATTACCGCTTTGCTAGCAAAACACAAGCAAAGTGTGAAGACTCCTCAGCTATGGTGCAAAAAGAATTCTAAGGAAAACAAGTTCTGGCTTTTTTATTGTGTTACAAATCTGGGTCAATCAATGACTGAGATTTACAGAGTATACTTTTATGCTACAAATAAAGTACTGTCAAGCTAACTCATTAAGCTTCCGTGGCTCGAGTCCATGTTTTTTGGCTCGTCATGGGGACACCGTGTCATGGCTGAGAGGCCGAAGTGCGCCTGTCGTGTCATAGGCTCCTCGGAGCGCGGTGACGAGGCCGTGGAAATGATGCGACAAACTACAGGATCGAGCCATGCTGACAGAATGGCGGAACTGTCTGCCTTCTCTGCTAATTTTCCACTTTATTCAGTACCAAGACCGCTTCGGACGTCCAAGTGGAAGGAACGGTCTATGGGTTCGCCGGTCAACTCCATTCGCTGTAATAAATTTATTGATTGCAGCGTTCCGAGACAGTCTCTACGGAACGCGCCTATCACAAACCGTTCTCTGGATTCCTTATGAAGGACGACACGTTTTGTAATCTGGCCACCGGACCGGAATTGTTAAAGGAACGTTGGCTACTTTCCTGAACAACATTATTATCCCACAACAACATTAGTTCAGTACACTATGGAGTATTCCACCAGGGTGAAATGTACGCGGGCCTGCCTTTCTTGCCGTCCTC